CATGCTGACAGCACGAGATGTTCCAAAGGAGTATTGGCCTGAAGCAGCAAACCTGGCCACTCATATTCTGAATAGATGCCCAACCTCAGTCCTGCCAAACATGACACCAGAAGAAGCTTGGAAAGAGAGAAAACCATCAGTCACACACCTCAAGGTGTTTGGATGCATAGGATATGTTCACGTTCCTGATGTTACAAGGAAGAAGCTGGATGAGAAAAGCATCAAGTGTGTATATGTGGGAGTCAGTGAAGAGTCCAAAGCTTTCCGAATGTATAATCCAGAAACAAAGAAGATTATCATTAGCCGAGATGTAGTTTTTGATGAAATGGAAAAGTGGGACTGGAAGAAGTCAGAAGGAGCTAATTCTCTTGAACTTATGTGTGAAGAGAAAAACTAAGCATCCTATTCCTAGGGGATAAGGTTTATTAACAAATAACTAAAAAGACTAAGTCAAAAACGTGGCTGACAGATTTGGTCACACTTTTATGCAAGATGTATTTGATATGACAAATCCGAGGATGTTATGAAGAAGAATGAAGATAATAATATTTTTCTTAAATTATTGTTGTTATAAATGCAAAAAAAAAAAAGTAGTGTACAACTGAAAATTTATACGTTAAAACTAAAAGAGATATATTATGAGGAGAGTATTATTAAATAAGAACAAAAATAATTAAAATTTATTTAATTTAAGAATAAAATAATTTGTTTACTTTTTTTTTTTCTAGGCAAAATGAAATATATTAAAAACGACTTCAAATGGTACTCCAACCTATAAACAGTTAACTTAATAAAGATTAAGACATGCAGCAGATTCCCCTGACCAACCCATAAATCTGTTTACTTATAATAGAAATAAGAAAGAATAATTTGTAACTTTGTCAAAATTCGGAGATAAAATCTGCAAAAAAATATAATTAAGTCTTATATTTAAAAAAAATGGTAGCTGAAAATAAAAACAAAACAAAACAGTTCAAACACATTCTCAATATTACAATTCAATGCTTTTGAATCCTTGCAATTAGTTTATCATTCTGTTATTTTGTGGTGTTGTTTTTTTGTTTTTTAATCTCTGACTCTGACAAACAACTTCAATGATAAATCCCGGTGATTAACTCTGACCACAAGTGGCTTATCTGATGCATTTGACTAATATCTATAATTATGTTTTTTCTTTCTACAAATACTTATTTGGATAAGCTATGGTTTTTTTAATGGATGTGGTGGTTTGCAGAAAAGATGAATCAATTATTTTTTATGAAAGTGAATTAAATTGTTGTTTTCTGTTCGATTGAGTTTTCTTAAGTGGTAGATTAATTAGGAATCTGTTTATTTTTAAAAATTAATTAAAATAATTTTATATATTAATGAACATGTTTTAATTTTAATTTTTATAATTTTTTTAATTTTTCATTCTTCTAAAATTTAAAATTATGATTTTAGTTTTTACTATTAAGTGATTATTCTTAATTACTTATATGTTTATTAAAATGTTTTGTGGTTACTCTAAGTAGTACTCACAACTATATTTAATATTTTATTTGCATCTTACATTTCTGATTTTTTTTATAAATCCTTAAAATAGTGATTTAAAATTTTAGAAGAATAAAAATAATAATTTTTTTTTGTTTATTTTATAAAAATAAAAAATCTATAAATTTAAAAGAATAAAAAAATTCTTTAGAAATTGAAAACATATTTAAGTTACAGCTGTTTATTACCGATACTTAGATAAAAAAAAAATTAAAGTAAGCACTGATTTTATTAAGAAACTTTATATTTAATGTCATTAACACAATATTGTAAGCATACAGAGAATGTAAATAATTATATTATATTACGCAAGGTAAATAATTTTGAATATATATATATAAATAATTTTAATAGTTGATCTTACTTTTGATATTAGAAAAAACACTATATATATATATATTATGCTTTTGTCTTACTTTTTTATTAATTAACTCTTTACTTTTCATACATATTAACATATAGGTATGAAAACATTTATTACTTCACGAAATCACTATATATTCAGTACGTATATGTCTGAACGCACCTACTTCGTCCATAATTTTAATTCAGTTTCTATATACAAATACGTTTTTGGTGTCTTGTCCACAAACTCCGGAAATTAAAGAAAGATAATAAATGATTGAAAAACAATCATTAACTGCATGAAAACTTTGGTTGAGTTCTTCATCATTTATGCCGATCCAAATTGATTACATAAAAATTTTGATATAAAAAATAAAAATAAGGTTTAGGAAAATTAAATTATTAACTATGGCTTTTAATTTCTTTTTATCACAATTTTAAATACACTATTATTATTTAGTAAGCACGATCAATTAAACACGATTAATTTTTATTTATCATATTTATTTATAAATTAAATTTAATATTTTAAAAAATTATCAATAATTAAAATAATAAAGTACCACAATATAAATTTATTTATCATAAATATAAAATATAAATTATATGTTTTAACAAAATTATTTATATAATTTTTAAATATAATATTGATTTTTACATATGTTTATCATGTGCATTACATAGACTAAAGTACCCGTAATTAGAAGGGACAAAGTGGATCACAACTCGCTAGTCCACTAAAAATTCGTAAGACAGGAAAGACATTCTAGCTAGCTAATCCATTTGACTCACCCCACCTTGCCCATTAGGCTAAATGGCTCATTGGCTCACCAACCCATTTAATTGTTAACTATTGTTTTTAATTAGTTTAAGGTTTAAAGTTTAAGATTTAGGATGCATATGATATTCTAAATGCGATTGATTCGTATTTATATCATATCTATAGTGACATTTTAATTTCATTTATGTTTAACAAGGGTGCCATACATTACAATTTTAAAATTTAAAAATAAGATATTTTTTCTAAATGAGAAGAAAATTTTCTTAGGTTAGGTGTAATAAATTATTTGTAATGACTTGACATGTATTTACACTTACTATAACTTAATGACTAAGTAACGAAAAACATAAATCTGAATACCTAAGGTTATCATGCAAACAATTCCTGGATATTTATGCAATAATATATATATATATATATATATATATACACACACAGAGATAAATAGATAGATAGACACACACACAATAATCCAAAATTGTAAACATAAACCTTAAGTTGTTCGTCAAGCAACTACTATACAAGCTATGTCAGAACGACCACCAACACAAAACCACCATCTTCAACAATATATATATATATATATGTAAAGAGTAAACAATTGGAAACATAAAATCCCTAGTGTGATTAAACCAAATCATGTATACACAAACACGCATAAACAAATATAAGGTTACAAAACATAAAAATTATAGGTTATTGGTCGAACAACAACTATATATACATTGCATTAGAATAACACCATGGAAAGAAATAACCATTTCCAACATGACAAATGTAAGAGCCCAAATAAATCGAAATGAGAGGAATCCAGAGATTTGTAGAAGTGTGAAATTGTACAGTTGAAGATGACTCAAAATAATTAATTTATATTATATATACCAACAAGATGCATCTACTTTTTGGTAGTTCATCACTTAAGAACTTCATAGTTAAGCATGCTTGGTTTAGAGCAATTTAGGGATGGGTGACTTTCTGGAAAGTTTCCTAGAGAGCGTGCGAGTGAGAACAAAACACGCTAAAAAGTCTTGTATTTATTTGTGGGGACAATCATTGATCTTAGAGGTGGCCAAGCATCTCAGAAAGGGCCACCCATAGAGAGTTTTGATCAACGAAGGATTCTAACCAACGAGGTGTTGTGTGAAATATCACCGTGTAAAATATCATGGAATGGAGCCACTAAGACATCATAATCTGAGGGGTGTTACAACAAATCCTCAAGCAAGCCTTCTGATCCAATCATACCCTTCTACCATAATAATATGATCCTCACAATATTATAACATGGAAAAGGGTAAATTTCTATACAATCAAACAACATAATATAGAAACACATAGTCAATTATAAAACAACTTCATCAACACAACACAACAACAACCAAATGCTTAGCCTAATAGCACAATAGCACAATTATACACTTAACAACATTTCAACTTACTTTTTATCCTAAATTATTGTTTGCATGTTAATCCTAGGAAGTTAGATGTATATTTATGCTGCTAGTTGCTGAGATGTGAACTGTAGGGATTTGACGGGTTGTCACACAACAATCTCAAGAAGGGTTTTTCAATAATTGGGTTTCCAAAAGACCACAACACTTATTCACATAATGAGATATTTCAACTTTTAAAATAACATGTTTTCTCTAGTCCTAAGTTCATAACACAGTTTAACAACATGCATCTTACATATTTATGACATATGTGATTATGTGAGTGTTGATATGTGTTGTTAGTTGTTGTGTTACTCCCGAGGGACATGAGTTAGTATTGAAATAACCGTACGCTTAAGTTATACAACATATAACTCAAGTGTGTGAGATTTAGCTTGATGAAGGCTAAGATATATTAGGAAAAATTTGAAAAGAGAACTTCATAAGTTAATAATTCAAGTTTTTTAGAGAGAGAAGTTAGAGAAAGGGTTTTTAGGACTTCAAGTTGTTATTCTCTATTAGGAAGTTCGATTAAGGTAAGAGAATTTTGATTGATACCCCAAATCTTGATGCTGTGTTATTTATGCTTGGATTCGTTGTATTTATGTTGTCTAAAAGCTTTTGGATGATTTACATGATGAAGAGAAAGACTAGAAAGGTCTTGCACATTTTGGGCATAAAGCATGTTTGCTTAGTAAGTTGGTAGTTGTTGAATGAGCTTTCATAAGTTGAAGGGTGAATGTTGAGTTTCATACTTTCACTTAACAATATGAGTCCCACTTAACAAAAATAACAAACATGATAAAGTTCGGCTGAGTGAAAGTGGCTCATTCAACTAGAGATGATCCCTAGTAAAAATAGGAAAAAGTCACTCAAGAAAATGATCTCAATAAATAATAAACAACCTCTGAAAGAAAGACTTATTTATAATTAATTATGTAATTAATAATACAAAATATTTATTTAAATAACTAAACCACAAATAACTATCCCTTAACATTACATACTCAACCATTTCAACATAATCTATAGATAAGCTTATTGAATGCTTAGATTCAACATTACAACCACCTGTTACATAGAAAACAAACATACACCGAAAGTCACAATTTTTATTTCTTCCTAGAGAGTGATCCTTATTTTACTGAATAAGCTAATATTCCTGAAAGACAAGCTTTACAGGAAAGTCTCTTCTTCTAACACACTCGTTCATGAAAAGTAAACACGACAACCACATTGAAATCTAGCGAATGGCATTCCCGGCATGCCCATTGTGGCAGCATTTATAGCTGATGAAAATCTCCATTGTCCTAGGACAATCTGGGCATTTGATGGTCTCTGGTAACTTTCCGGCAACATTTGGAAGTTCGAGGTGTGAGCAACGGTGAGTGGTGGTAACAATCTTGTCGTGGTATTCTTTGAAGGTGAATTCAAAGCCCTTCTTGATCACAACTTCTTTCCATTTCTCAAACTCTGCCACTGTCTTCAAAATTGTGGTTCCGTGACCGCTCAACACCACAGCTGGCCCTTTGCTAAGGAGAGCCCATCCAGTCTCATTCTTGTAAGACAGCATCTTTTGCACTTCTTGAGTCACAGCATCAACTGTCCTGTGAACCTTGGTCACAAACAAACTCTCAATGCCACTCCAGAAACGCTTCACAAAGCTTTTGTCTTCCTTTTCCACACAAAACAACTCGATGGAAATATTTGCGCCCTTTATATTAGCGTCGTTTGCAAGGGCAGTCGCATACTTAGTGAACTGTTGGATCCACTCTCTATCGTTACCTCCATAGAAGAAAATGTACTTCTGCTTTTCGATCTGCTCGTACAAAGTATCACAACACATTGTAATTTATCCTAGTTTTCTATATTCTTGCAAAGATAATTAAATACCAAATCATATGGACAAATTAACAAATCTAAAAAATGATTGTTAAATTTACTTACCCAACTGTTAACGTCCGCGTGGATGCCGCCCACTACAGAGCCAACCCAATTGATTTCCCTATTTATTTGTTCTTCATTCCAAGATGTATAGGGAAAAGCCTTCATTCCATGAGCCTGAATCAAATGGAATGCGTTTGAGTGTTGCACCTTTCCTCGAGTGTTCAACACCACAACCATAGGCATCTTTTTGAAGTGCCATTCTTCTTTAATGTACTTGTATCCTGCTATGCTTCCAAAATGTTGCACCACATACCAAGGCATCTTGCTTTTCAAAATCTCAAATTTCTTGCGCAGTTGCTCCGTCCATTGCTCCACAATGGGAATCCACACAATCTTATACTCATCATTAGTTTTAATATAATCAAAAACTGGTCGGAGTACTAAAATCTCTTCGTCCGTGATGTCTAAGGAAGAAACAAACAGATATACGTTCTTCTTTTTTAACACAGTGATGTCGACCTACCAAATAAAAAATGAATCAAGATTAAGAACTACAATTGCTTGAACGGTGGATACTTTAAAACATCATTTCACAGACATAGGAGTAGAAAAATCTATCACAAATTCTTACCATGCTTTTTATTTTACTCTTCTCTTATAATATATAAATATCTTAAAATTGAATTTTACCTAAAACCGTGTAAAATTTTAAAAATCTGTATTGTTACCATCAAGCTTATTAAACTGTATTCAAATGAATTATCCCTTTTCAAACGCTCGTCGAAAATAAATTTAACAATAACCCAACAAATAACTTTTGCTAAACTTGTCTTATTTATTTCGGTGTCAAAAACTATATTATACTTTTTTAATTAAAAAATATATATCACAACATAAGTTTATGATTAAAGTTAATTTAAACACATATTCTTAAAATATTCAATAGTTTAAAACTAATTTAAATAAAATGAATTTTGTTCGCTGCTGTTTTGTGGTGCCTTCTTGTTGACCAGCAGGGCGTCATGTAATGATAATTATTTTGGATATGAAACTTATAAAATATATTTTTACTTTTATTTTAAAAATGAATCCACTTTATCATGAAACGAAAATTGTTTATCCAATAATCATGTTTAAAATTAATTATTTCAATACCAGTTTTTTCAAAAGAAAATCAAACAAAATATTAATGATGTTATGTTAAGAAAGAGAAAATAGGAATAATAATATTATTTATTTTGTTTGAGTAGACGATAAATATAAAAGTAAAAAATATCTTTTAAAAGTGAAAATTTTCCTATAATTCAAATTTATTCATTTTTTCTACCAACCAAACAAGACTAAGAGAAGTGATAGAAAGTTTGTCTTGTTTGTATTTATATGTACTTGTAATGGCAATATATATATATATATATATA